AAGGAAATGCTCAACATCCTTAGTCGTCACAGAAAAAAACAAATCAAAACAACTCTGAGATACCACCTTACACCTGTCAGAAGGGCTATGATCAAAAACACTGACGACAGTCTATGTTGGAGAGCATGCAGAGCAAGGGGAACACTCCTGCACTCTTGGTGGGAGTGCAAACTGGTACAGTCACTGTGGAAATCAGTATGGCGTTTTCCCAGAAAACTGGGAATCAATCTGCCTTAAGACCCAGCCATACAACTCTTGGGCATATACCCAAGGAATGCTCAATCATACCACAAACATACATGGTCAATTGTCTTCATAGGAGCATTATTCATAATAGCCACAACCTGGAAACAACCTAGACATGCCCATCAACTGAAGAATGGATTAAGAAAATGTGGCACCACTTGCGGAAGCCCATGAACTGTGGGAAGTCCATGGGACTGCACTAGGCCCTCTGGATATGGAAGACAGTTGTTTGGCTAGAACTGTTTGGGGGGCACCCAGGCAGGTGGATCGGGATCTGTCCCTGGTCTATGGTCAGGCTTCTGGAATCCGGTGCCTGTGGTGTGACACCTTGCACAGCCTTGGTGCAGTGGGAAGGGGCTTGGACTGGACTAGGCTCAGTGTGTGGGCTCTGCTGACTCCCCATGGGAGACCTCGATTTGGGGGATGTGGGGATGCGGGGTGGCTTCGGAAAGAGTCCTGGGGGGTGGGAGGAGGTAGGAGGGGGGAATCTGTGGATGGTATGTGGAATGAGTAGAAAATTTCTTAATAAAGAAAAATGAAAGAAAAGAAAATGTGGCACCTATACACAATGCAGTACTACTCAGCAGAGAAAAACAGTGACAGCATGAAATGTGTAGGCAAATGGATGGAACTAGAAAATATCATCCTGAGTGAGGTAACCCAGACTTAGAAGGACAAACATGTTATGTACTCACTCATAAGGGGATACTAGATATAAAGTAAAGAACAGTCAGACTGCAACCCACAGAACCAGGAAGGCTACCTAGACGGGGGAACCCTAGGATAACTGTGGCTTATAATAAGATTTGGGTTTACCCAATCACTGGGCACACTTCAGTGAAACATTTCACTATTAGCATAAGAATTTGTACTGTATCAAGCTGATGAAAGGATATGGGGGCTGTACTTTCTGGATGGGAGGCTAGAAGGAAGATGAATAGGAATCTCACTTCCACAACTTAAGGAAAACATAGGGCTCTGAACAGATGAAGATAGGTTTCTTCTGTATCTCAGAATCTAATCAATATTTACACGTATTATTCAGCTCTCATTTGGCTTAAAGGGGCTTATTGGGAAATGTAATTATTTTTACTATTTTCTACAGAGAAAATTTTTTCCAGTTTCAAATAACCCTGGACTTTGGAATTAAAACCTGTTTTTGGTTAAAAAAAAAAAAAACCCAAAAAACAAAAACAGAAAACAACCAGTCTGTGCGTTTCCCTAATGACTTTGAGTCACTGTACAAGTTGAGATCCTAAGGAGGAAATGGTATATTTTCTAGATTAAATAGGTATAATTTTAGATAAATGGTCTTCAGAAACTTCAAAGACCTACAGAATATAGCATCTAAAATGCTTTGAAATTTAAAATCTTTCATGGCAGTGAGACACTCTGCTCCAGGTTGTATCAATTTATGTCAGAGATAATGGGCATTGAAGAAACTCCTTATGGAGTTTGATTTCACTGTGGCAAGGCTAGCCACTGGGCCAAGGAGCTGCTCTTGCCTTTGACTGCTGTGCTGACTGGACATGCAGGACACACAGGAAAAAAGACTGTTGAACTTGCCAGAAAAGGCAGGACGTTCCTAAAATATCTACTTCACAGAAGACACTGCCAGACATTCTGCAGGACACAGAGGAAAGCATCTGATGAATTTTGCCAAAACAAGGCAAGAAGTCCAAAATTCCTGATTCATAGAAAAATCTCCCAGACACTCTAAATCTACAGGCTGAAGATGGATGCCCCAACATTGCAGAGAAACTTTGGGTGACTGTCCAGGCATCCAAATGTCTCTGTTCTTAGATAATATTATATCCTTCTGGGTCTCTGATAAAGTTGAAGACTTGATAACTATAGTTGCAGCTTTCTTTAGATATAATAGAAAGTAAATTATGTACAAGGTTTTGGATTCACTAAGATAGGATAGATGACTCATTATTTTCTCTGAAGTTGTTAAATACAATCGCACTGAATAATGCAAATGTAATTCTAACTTGATAATTGTTTCTGTTGTATATAATTTTAGCATGTTAAAGTTAAAGCCTTTATTTTTTATTTTTTAATTTCTATTTCTATATTTATTATGTATGCAGTGTTCTGCCTGTACATATGCCTGCACTGCAGGCCAGAAGAGAACACCAGAACACATTATCAATGGTTGTGAGCCACCATGTTGTTCCTGGGAATAGAACTCAGGACCTCTGGAAGAGCTGTCAGTGTTCTTAACCTCTGAGCCATCTTTCCAGCCCCACCTTTATTTTTATTTAGACAAAAAAGAAGGACATGTTGTATAATATTATTTTAAGGTATGTTACTTTTGTTTAAGTTGCAATTGTTTAACTGTGAAGTGGTGTTACTGTGCCTGTGTAAAACACCTGATCATCTAATCAAAAGCAAAACAGCCAATAATGAGGCAAGAGAAGGATAGATGTGGCTGGCATACAGAGAGAATATATGGAAAGAGAAATCTGGAAGAGGAGAGTTCTAGGAGCCAGAGAAGGAAGAGGTCGCCAGGGGACAGACACCCAGCTACACAGCCAGCCACAGAGTAAGAGTAAGGTATACAGAAGTAAGAAAAGGAAAAAGACCAGAGGAAAAAGGAAGATGTGATAAGTTAAGGAAAGTTGACAAGAAACAAGCCAAGCAAAGACCTGGCATTGATAATTAAGAATAAGCCCATGTGTAATTTGTTTTGGGGCTGGGTGCCCCACCCAAAGAGCCAAAACAATCAAACAATTTGCTCAAATTCTTCACTCATTTGCTTTGAATTTAGAGTAAACTGACTTGCTTAACATTTAAGGGCAAATTGAGTGGTTCACAATTTAAAGTACCCTCCTTAAATATGTCACTAGGGGCTGGACAGATGGTTCAGTTGTTAAGAACACTGGCTGCTCTTGCAGAGGACCCAGGTGGGTTTGGATCCCAGCACCCACATAAGGGCTCCCAACACTTATTAACTAGAGTCGAAGGACATGCAGCACACTTACCTGACCCCCTCTGGTACCATTGCATACACATTGTATGCAAGCAAAGCACCCATAAATATTCTAAAAATCTGTGAGAATCCAGGGGGTAGTGGCATGTTCTTTAATCCTAGGATTTGAGAGGCAGAGACCAGCCTGGTCTACAAAGCTCATCCCAGGACAGCTAAAGGCTGTTGCACAGAGAAACTCTGTCTTGAAAAATCATTTTTTATAAAATAAGGGGTTGGGGACTTAGCTCAGTGGTAGAATACTTGCTTAGCAAGTTCAAGGCCCTGGGCTCGGTCCTTAGCTCCAAAATAATAATAATAGTAGTAATAGTAGTAGTAATAATAATAATAATAATAATAATAATAATAATGTAATAATGGTAATGGGGACATACACAAACTATAAAATTGTTGTCCTTGGTCAGATACCTAGTAATTTATTGGAAAAATCACATTTTACAGTTTGAGGAGACAAACATCACTCCCATTTTGTGACTCAATATTGACAACATGAGAATAACAGCACCAAGTAAAAACAAAATGTAATGAAAGCCTTCCAAGGAGGGGCATCTCAGCACTCTGGGCACAGGTAGGAATCCGGTTCCAAGCTCATGGCCAATCTAGACTGCATAGATAAGTGGGACTCTTGAGTTTCAAACTAGCCTGGTCTACATAGTGGGTTTCTAGGACAGATAGTGACACATAGTGAGATCCTGTCTCAAACACACACACACACACACACACACACACACACACACACACACACACACACACACGCACACACACACACACACACACACCAGTGGGGCATAGTGAAACACAATTGTCCTCAGACCTTCAAGGGATGAGACACTCTTTTAGTGCTCCCAGGGTGTTGCCACATAACAAGGGTAACCTAGCAACAATCTCTCCAGGAAAAGACTTCAATCTGGATATAGACTCATGAGGATGCCATTCTTGAATGGATTTTCATGTGTCGTTTCAGAGTCCCCTGCTGTCTGAAGGCCTTGTCACAATCCTTACAACTGTGAGGTCTTGAGTCCCTGTGGATGTGGAGATGGATATTGAGGTTGCCCATGTGGCTGAAGCATTTCCCATAGTGCTTACACTCATATGGCCGGCAAGATGATCAACAGGCTCTACAGGTCGTAGGGTAGCAAGCCCTAGCTGCCCATCTTCTGTCCTGTCCATACAGGAGGGCCCCCCTTGACAAGTGGGAACCTTGCCTCAATTGGAACTAGAGAGTCTCTGAAGATCTGCGTGTGCAGCTAAATCTCTTCTTTCCAGAACATGGGTGGACCGTGTGACAGCATCTATATTTGTATATATATAGATGCCTGGGGCATCTTCACATCCTTTCCTCTGACAGAATCTGATGGAAGGATGTCCACATACAACATTTAAAACATGAGAGTCCCTCTCAAAAATGGATTGCATTTATTTACTTGATTATGGAAGGAGGTGGGACCCTAAGAATGTGGAGGACAACTTTTGGGTTGGTTCTCTCTGTCACCAGGAGGGTCCTGAGATGGATCACAGGCAGTCAGCTGGAGGGCCAGTGCCTTTCCCCACTTAGACACTCAACACTTATTAAAGATCAACCCAATCATACCAGACTCATTAGATCTAGACTCTGGTGTTGGCTGGGGACATCCCATCAACATCCTAAGCATGAGAGCTCAGCCTGTAGAATGCTCTGGAAGGCTAGTGACAGAGGGGGTGGGAGTGGGTGGTCAGCCTCCTCCCACAGGGAAGGGAGTGCTGGGCAAGGGGATGTGAGTCCTCAGAAAGTTTCCACCTTGAACTCACCAGGACCCTTTGTTGCTGAGGGTCCTGAGGTATCAATAGGGAGGTCCCAGCTCTTCAGGGAGTCACTCCCTGGACTCTGCTCAGGTCTCAGGTCATCCTGTTCTCTGATCTTGGGAGCCATATCCAACAAAACTTCTTTCTTTATAGGCGACAGTGAAGAATTATTGGTGTGTGTTTGTTCAGTGGAGAGGTGGAGCATAGAAACTTGTCTCTGCTTGATCTGGGCCACTCAATTTTCTCCACAGTTGTTCCTAATTCTATGACCCACTCCACTACCCTACACAAACCAATATTCTCCTCTTATTTGTATTCTCATTGACATGGAGCCGGCATACCTCTACAGGTCATATTGGTTGCTATTTAATTCTCTATGCACGATCTTTCCTGCTCTCGACGCTACATGCAAAATGACTCTCAATTGGGCACTATAGCTGACCCATGTTCCTGGGAGCTCACAGGCTCTAGACTGTTAGCTAAGAAGCCTGCATGGGACTGACCTAGACCCTCTGCATGTGGGTTACAGTTGTGTAGCTTGGTCTGTTTATGGTACCTCTGGCAGTGGGACCAGATTCTGCCCTGGTGCATGAACCGGCATTTTGGAACCTATTCTCTATGTTGAGATGCTTTGCTCAGCTTTGATGCAGGAGGAAGAGCATGGTCCTGCCTCAACTTGATATGCTATGCTTTGTTAACTCCCAGGGGAGCACTTACCCTTTTTTTAAGAGTGGCTGAGGTGGGGTGGAAAGGAGATGGAAAGAGGGAACTGGAGAAGGAGGAAGGGGAAACTGTGGTAGGTATGTAAAATAAAATTTAAAAATTAGTAAAAAAAAAAACCGATTTGGGGCTAGTGAGGCTAGAAGAGGGATAGCTCAGAGGTTAAGAACATCGGCTGATTTGTAGAGGACCTGGCTTGGATCCTCAGCACCCACAAGGAGGCTCTCAACCATCTGTAACCTGTATTCAGGTGATGGTGTGGGGTCTGATGCCTTTTCACTTCTGCAGGCACCAGACACACATGTGGGGTCACATACACACACAAGAAAAGTACCTCTACCTATAAAATTAGGATAACTTTAAAAAAATTGGAAGTTGAATGATTACTTCTGATGGGCAGAGGGTCTCCTCAGCTCCATACTGTGACTTTGAAGTGACAGCGACTGCACACTGTGAAAACTCAGAGCAGCCAGGTGCGGCTTTGCACAACTTGGATCCCAGCACTCAGAAATCTGAGTCCAAGGCCAGCCTGGTATGTTCCAGGACAGCCAGAACTATGTGGAGAGACTGTCTCTTAAATGGAAAAATATAGCTATGTATTTCTAGTCATGCGATCCATGTAGGTTAACAGGGCTGAAACACCTCTAGAGGATGTGGTCCCACTCCATTAATTTCAGCATTTGGAAGGTAAAGGCAGGATTATCACAAGTTCAAGACCAACCTCCCCCACGTGGCTAATTGAAGACCAGCCTGAGTTACTGGGCACTCTGCTTGGAACAAAACAAAACCTCAAGCATCACCCCCAGGAGTCAAACTGCCCTAGGCGGAGACCAGTCCTTCAAACTTTAGAGGGCCTGGGAATCAAACTCACATCATCAGGCTGGGCATTAACCACTGAGCCATTTCTTCAGCACATTCTCCACTCTGAAGTTATTATTGATGTGTCTATGCTTTGTTGCCCAAGGAAACAAGATGTCTTAGATCCCCTAGAGCTGGAGTTAAAGGCAACTGTGAGCTGCCTGGAGAGGGTGCTGGGACTCAAACACTGGTCCTCAGAGGAGCAGCAAGTGTTCCTAAGAGCTGAGCCATCTCTCTAGTCCTCTCCACACTCTTCACAATGAATGTTAGTGGGAGAGATATGGGATGGTGAGCCTTTTTTCTCCAGCATCCCAGCATGTGATGCATCAATGGCCAAAGGGTCTGAACCCAACCCTTGATAAATCTCCTATCTCTTCTCAGAGATAGTGTTACACGCTTACCTGAAGGCAGACAGCTCAGTCCCTGGCAGGTTCTATGGCTCTGGCTAGCCTGGTCACTGCTGAAAATCTCCTCTGACAACACTACCACAAAATCATCCCAGACATCTGCCTTGGCTTTGGCCATTTCAAAACCAGAACCCCATAGGAGGAATGTCTGTCCATGGGAAATTATAGACTGTGGGGATAAGGGAACAGGTGGTATAGCTAGAGTTTTCTTGGTCCTGTCTGGCCCTCGGTCATGACAATTTTCTCTCACCGCCAGTCCCACAGCTGCTCAGACTCAACCAAGTAAAAACACAGAGACTTATATTACTTATAAACTGTATGGCTGTGGCAGGCTTCTTGCTAACTGTTCTTATGTCTTATATCAACCCATTTCCATTAATCTATAAGTTGCCACGTGGCTCATGGCTTACCAGTATCTTAACATCTTCTCATGGCGGCATCTGGCAGCGTCTCTCTGCCTCAGCCTTCCTGTTTCTAGAATTCTCTTCTCTGCTTTTCCTGCCTATAATTCCTGCTTGGCTACTGGCCAATCAGCATTTTATTTATACAGAGCAATATCCACAGCACATCCCCTTTTCTTTTTTTCAAAAAGAAGGTTTTTAACATTCACATTGTAAAATAGCATATAACCAAACAATTATAATGCAAGAGTTACAGTTACAATATTAAAGAAGATATCCTATCTATCCTTATTTGTGTGTCTAAGGTTTCATATCTAACTTATCTGTTATCATAACTAAGGAAATTATAACTATCTAGTCTTCAACTACATCAAAGACCTCAGAAGGATATAAAACTACCTGAGAAATGGGAGAAGGATACAAGCAACTTTCAGGAGTCTTGTGAGAGTAGACAGAGACAGCTGGCAGGCAGCCTGGACAGTCACCTAATGTCCCTTTGTAAAGTTGGGGCATCTGTCTTTAGCCCACAGCCCTAGAGTTTCTCAGTCACTTCTCTCTGTGTCTTGTAGAATGTCTGGAAGTTTCCTCTGTGAAGCAGGAACCTGAAGGGTCACTTTTCCAAGCAAATTTCAGTGATCACATGGGTCCAGCATGTCCAATCGATACATTTTTTAAAGCTGTCCACGCAAGATCAATTTCTTTTTTTTTTTTTTTTTGGTTTTCTCAAGACAGAGTTTCTATGTGTAGCTTTGCACCTTTCCTGGATCTCACTGTGTAGACCAGGCTGGCCTCAAACTCACAAAGATCTGCCTGGCTCTGCATCCCGAGTGCTGAGATTAAAGGAAAGCACCACCAGTTTCTTGCCAAATGGCTATTTTTGCCAAGGTGAAGATAAACTCTATATAGAGTGTCTTCGATGCCCATCCTCCTCTCTGAAGTAAATCTGGTGCTGCCAGGAGCAGACATGTCACACTATCCAGAAAGTCTAAAATTTTAAAACATTTTAAATGCCATATTCTGTAGGTCTTTGAAGAGTTTGAAGATTTCCTATCCATCTGAAATATATCTATGTAAAGCTAGAAGACTTAGCTAACATGGCTACAAGTATGATTATCATAGATGACTAACTAAATATTAATCTCTTTCTTTATTATCCATTACAATTTTAAATGAGCTGTACACACATAATACCTTAAAAAGAGTAGAAATATACACAGTATAACAAAATTAACTTTAAATTTTTATCGATAAACTAAAATCTATACCAATGTAAAACATTTCAAACAAGTTGTTGCTCTTTAAAAGTAGGATCATTAATCTACCCTTCCATCCTTTCATATCTATATCATATCCCCTTTTTTGTTTAGAAAAGGATTGCATTTATAATCAACCTGATTTAAATAAAAATATTGGTTTTTCTCTGTCCCACACCAGAGGGCTCTTCTGATATGGGACAAAAGAATTTCTCAATCTTTTTATTTAAGAGTATGTTTGGTTATAGAGAAGGAGTGAACCAATTCCATCTCCAAAGCCAGTTTGGTGTATTTGAGAATTGGGGCGTAGCTTCTCTTACTACTTCCTGCTGGAGGGGGGTGCTGTATTTTATGGGGACACAAAGAAAATTTTAGGATTATGGAGTAGTCCGTGAGGGTGTATTGTCTGAGCCAGTTGTCTTAAAGCCATTCTGGATGTTGAATTATCTGGGCCATGGTGTCTTCTGTGACCTTTCAGGGGGTCTTGGCTGGTCAAACCTGATGTATCTTAATCTGGAACAATTCCATAGCCTCTGGCTTTCTGTGGAAACAAAAGCAGAGCCTTCTTTCCAAAGCAACATATCCCTATAACCAAATATTGAAGTCATGGTACCATATATATATATATATATATATACTGGCTTAACTCAACAGCTTTTACAAACAAATGTCTTTCTGCAGTAAAGAATATCAAAGACAACACAATCAAGATTCTCTGTGTAATATCTATCTTTACATGGCTTATTTTTTTATATAACTTTACTGTCTCTTTAAAGACTTTTTTAAAAAAACTTTGTATTTCTTTATAGAGCTATAGATATCACATTTTTTGTCTCTTTCAAGCCTACGTATATATTACACACATTGTAAACTATTCCATCTGAATCTGTCTTATTGTGAACCTATTGCTTTAAATGCAACCTTCTAAGACTGAAATGGCAATGTGGCTGCTGGCTCCGCCCACTTCATCTTCCCAACATGGCGGTGGTTCATTTACGGCCACCTCTGGGAGCCATCAACTCTTAGAAACAGTGGTTCTATGCTTCCATCAAAGCAGTGTGCAGCCCAGAAACCTCTTTTTTTTTTTTTTTTTTTTTTTGTACTAGCAAGACTAAATCCACCATGCAGCATAATGTGTTGTTGCTTGGAGACACCTCATTCCTGCCATACTGCAATTCAAACACACACGCCAGAAACCTGCCATGGTAGCTCAAACCCGCACCCTGCTGCTAACTTTAGAGAGAAAACTAGGAAGCTGTTTTTAGCTCCGTTTTAGAATCTTTCTTTCTCAGGTTTTAGGTGGAAACTCTTGCCAACCTGTTGGGCACCATTTGTAGCTAGAGTTTTCTTGGTCCTGCCTGGCCCTGGGTGAGGACAAATCTCTCTCACCCGACAGTCACACAGCTGCTCAGACTCAACCAAGTGAAAACACAGAGACTTATATTACTTATAAACTGTATGGCTGTGGCAGGCTTCTTACTAACTGTTCTTATATCTTAAATCCACCCATTTCTATTAATCTATGAGTTGCCACGTGGCTCGTGACTTACCAGTATCTTAACATCTTCTCATGGCGGCATCTGGCAGCGTCTCTCTGCCTAAGCCTTCCTGTTCCCAGAATTCTCTTCTCAGCTTCTCCCACCTATACTTTCTGCCTGGCTACGGGCCAATCAGCATTTTATTTATACAGAGTGATTTCCACAGCAAGGTGAGACTCCAGGTAAGACACTAGAGGTAGCTGTCAAAACTCCCCATCTCCAACCTGACATCCTATTAGATAATGACAAAGCATAGCATATTAAGTTGCAGGAAGACTGGGCACCTCCCCATGTATTACCTTTAGACAAAGGGACCCAGTATGAGGAACAGGGGCCCAAACACTGGGAAAGGAGTCAGAGACAGCCCCTGCTCCTACTGCTAGCTGTCCACCTAGAACACCAAACTACACTAATATCACACAAATGCAGAGAGCCTAGGTCAGTCCCATGCAGCCTGAAGCCAAAAGGACTGAGAAAACACATGTCAATGTAGTGATGTCTAATGACATCCTGCTGTACTCATAGATTAATGCCAGTTCCAAATGTCATCAGAGAGGTTTTCTCCATACTCATTGTTAAGCTTTAAAGCAGACAGGTGCCCCGCCTGCAGGGCTTCAACGGGTTCTCGACCACCCTAAGGAGGGAATAATAGAGACAGGAGATACAAGGAAACACACCAAGTCTAGATTCTGATCAAGGTGCAACTTTATTTTTCTCCTAGAGGGTTTATATAGTTTCTGCAGGGTGGGGGGAGCAAGAAGCTGTCATCTGCATAAGGTGGGGCAAGCTATCAGGATGTTTGTATAGGATGTTTACAGGGTGAAAGGGTCAAGGGCTCTGCCTCAATGTCCTGTTGCTAGGCAACCTGACTGTAAGATGATCTAGTTCCCTGTCTTATGGGGGTCTGTACTTTTCCACTAACTAGAGATTCTATCCTTGTCCCTGACAGACAGGTAGGTGGGTCTTCATTCTGCAGACCATGTCAAAGCATGGGATGTCCATCTGTTGCTAGTATGTTCAACCCAAACCCTTACCAGATCGCTCAAAACTCCCATCTTCTAGTTGCTTCTCCCAACTCACCCAGAAATAATGTCACAGGCTCACCTGGCTGCTGGATGGCTCTTCAGTCTCTGCCGGGTTCTGGCCTAGCCTCTGTTATTTTTGTTGTTGTTGTGTGTTTGTTTATTTTGTTTTTTAAGAAAGGGTTTCTCTGGGAAGAGTCCTGGCTGTCCTTGAACTCACTCTGTAGACAAGGCTGGCCGCGAACTCACAGAGATGCACCTACCTCTGCCTACTGGGTGCTAGAATTAAAGGGATGGGCCACCACAGACTGGATGGCCTGGCTTCTGTTGAGAGGCTCCTCTCTCTCTCATTTCAGGGGTGCTCCTGGGACAATTCCACATCATCCCATTCATCCTCTGTGGCTTCAGCCTTAAGACTTGAATCCTGAAGGAGATATAGTTGTCCGTGGGAGTGGATTATGGACTGTGGGGGAAAGGGAACAGGATGAGACCCTGGCTAAGACCCTGGATGTACCTCCCACAGCACTGCTCTGGGCTGATTCAGCAGCCCAGCTTGACTTATTTGCAAATCTGTCTTCCTGGACATAGATTGGCCCACAAGGTCATACTCAGGTACAGTGAACTGAGGACCAGTCTGGGAACTTTAGACTCTGTCACAAAAAACAAGGAGTGAGGTGGGGGCTGGAAAGATGGTTCAGAGATTAAGAGCATTGACTGCTCTTCCAGAGGGCTCAGGTTCAATCCCCAGTATCCACAAGGTGGTGGCTCAGAACTGTCTGAAACTCCATCTCTAGGGAATCAGATGCCCTCTTCTGGCCTGCAAGAGCACCAGACACAGATTCAAGAAAAAAAAAGACAAAAGGAAACAAAAATATAAAACCAAAATAACAAGGCATTCTGACTCAAGGTGAGCCTGTTAACTTACACTGTTTCTGATCCGCACAATTCCTTTGCTTCTAAGCAAAGTGTCTGGGCCACATTCACAAAGACAAAACAAGCCCATAAAGGTCCCCAGACATTGCCATTTATCACTTGGGAAGCAAAATTCTCCTCTTAAGAGCCACTGACTAAGGGCAGGACCGAGAGTGGGTTCTGCTTCCCGATCCCCACAGCAACAAGGCTGTCCTTTCCCTCAGCCCACAGCTGAGGCCCTGCTTACCCAATGCTGTGGTTTCCCGCCATCCCTCAGCATCTTCTCTAACTCTGTGCAGCTCTTCACTCCACTCTCCTTCACTAAGGCCTGCAGTTCTGGAGGCATGGAGATCAGGAACTGCTCCAACACCAGCTGATCCAGGATCTCCTCCTTGCTATTCAGGTCTGGTCTCAGCCACTGGTAGCATAGCTCAGAGATCCTCTTCAGATCCTGGATGGGGTCTGACTGCTCTGAGGGGCTGAAAGCTCTGAACTTCAAGTGCCAAACCTCAGGGCTGTAGTCTTCTTTTTCTGAATTCCTGTCCTGGGATGTAGGTGATGGTGTCTGCCCTGATGGGAGGCTGTCTGGTGGCAGGTTGGTAGCCATGTCTGCTGGGAATATTCCCTTGGTCTCTGTCAAGTTGGAATTCTATAAAATGACTCCTGTCTCAACAGACCTACTCCTTTATCCACAGGGATGGGCTTGGTGTTTGTTCCGAAGCCTGGGACGCAATAAAGGGCCAGATCAGTTTAACTCTGCTGCCTCCCTAAATGTCAAAATTCCTTATAATATACCCTCTCTATAAACACACTGGGACTGTTTAGTAGAGCAGAAATTAATCCATTCTATGGATCTGTAAGATGGCTCATATATTGGTGTCTCCAGCCAAGCCCAATGACCCCAGCTAAATCCCCTGAGCCTACACAGTGGAAGGAGAGTACCAGCTCTGAGAAGCTGTCATCTGGTCTCCTTGTGTGAGACCTGGCACCAACCCATTCCCAAGACAGTTGAAAAAAAAAGGGCTGGAGAGGTGGCTCAGAGGTTAAGAACACTAGCTGTTCTTCCAGAGGTCCTGAGTTCAATTCCCAGCAACCACATGGTGGCTCACAGCCATCTGTAATGAGATCTGGTGCCCTCTTCTAGCCTGTAGGCATATATGCAGGCAGAACACTGTATACATAATAAATAAAAAAAAAAAACGAGAGAGAGAAACTCTGCTGGGCGGTGGTGGCCCACGCCTTTAATCCCAGCACTCGGGAGTCAGACGCAGATGGATCTTTGTGAGTTCAAGGCCACCCTGGTCTACAGAGTGAGTTCCAGGAAAGGCGCAAGGCTACACAGAGAAACACTGTCTCAAAAAACCAAAAAAAAAAAAAAAAAGAATTACTCTAGTCCAGCTGTGTATGATGAAATATATCTGTAATCCCAGTCAAGGGAGAGGTGGAGCCTGATGCTTGCCATAGTTTTAAAACCACTGTAGGCTACATATATAAATACCAAGTCTAAAAACGTTGAGGGCTACAAGAGTCTCTCAAAATCAAAGAACATGCTGGGCAGTGGTGGCACACATCTTTAGTCCCTATTCTGGAGGCAGAGGCAGGAGGATCCCTGAGGACAGCCTGATCTACATAGAGATACCCTGTCTCAAAAAACAAAAACAAAGAACAAAACATATGGGTATTGTGGCTCAACCCATAATCCCAGCACTGGAGATGCTAAAAGAGAAGGGTTGTTTGAAGCTAGCCTGGGCTACAGAGCAAAATTCAGTTTCAGAACACAAAAACAAATATATAGAAATTCACTCCTCCTAGTCTTCCAACTCCGTGTTCCTACACATGCTGGCTTTAAAGAATCAATGGTTCCTGATCTCGTCTTCAGATGTGCACACATGGGATCGTTTCCACCATGTGCACACAGAAGTAACAGAATTCTTTTTTTGCTTTTTTTTCTGTCAGGGTCTCTCTGTTTAACCCTGGCTGTCCTACAACTTGCTCCCTAGACCAGGCTGGCTGGAACTCACAGAGATCTGCCTGCCTCCACCTCCAAGTGCTGGGATTAAAGGTGTGAGCCATGAACCACACCTTCCGTCCCAGGATTCTGGAGGCAGAGGAATGCACATCTGTCAGTCCCAGAGCAGCCAGAGCTATGCAGTGAGACCCTACCTAAAAAAAAAAAACCAAAAATCAGGGGAGAGGAAGAGGTGGTTAGGAACTCTGGCTGCTGTTTTAGATAAGAGTTCAGTTCCTAGTTTACATCTTACAAACACACAGAATTTCTGCTGGGTGTGGTGATGCACACCTTTAACCTCAGGAAGACAAAACAGTCAAATCTCTGTGACCCAGCCTGGTCTACATCGTGAGTTCCAGATCAGTCAGGATAGAGTGAGGCTATCTCTCTCTCAAAAAAAAAAACCAAAAAAAACACAAACTGGAAAACAAAACAAAAACAACCAACCCAAAAAACCCAAACACAATTGTTACATAAATATATGAAATTAAAAACTTATTAGTATGTATCATTTATATGCTAATAAATTTTTAATTATATAAATCAGGTCTAAGTGACTTAACGTATTGTATTTATTACTTAAAATAGTCATTAGAAAATCAATATAAAAGGTTGAGAGAAAAAAATGTTTGTAGCCAGTTTGGTGGTACACACCTTTAATCCCAGCCTGTCTACATAGGAAGACAGAGAGACAGAGACAAAAAGAGATTGCAAGGTTGGAGATGTAGTTCAGTTGTTAGAGTGCTTGCCTGGCATCTTTGAGACCTTGGGTCATGTCCTCAGCACTGCAGAAATAAAGTTAAAAACAAACATCATCCCCCAACCCCCGCAATGGTGTTAAAAAAACCTACTACTTTAATGTGTCTGGAGTTGGAACATTAAAAGAGAACTATTTTCATCATTGATTTAAATGTGTTCCATAGTGGTTTGGATTTTGTTTTCCTTTTTGGTTTTGACACAGGATAGGGCTGTGCATCCCAAACTGACTTGAAACTCATTCCGTTGTCCGGGTTGACCTTTGAACTCTTAGCACTATCTGCTTTCATGTCTCCTGAGAACTGATTTACAGGTAAGCGTACACATATCCCTCCACAACGGATTTTTGTGTTCTTCGTTCCCACAGCTTGATATAATTGTGTTAATTAAGAGTAACTGCTGATGCTGGGCAGTGGTGGCGCATGCCTTTAATCCCAGCACTCCGGAGGTAGAGGCAGGTGGATCTCTGTGAGTTCGAGACCAGCCTGGTCTCCAAAGTGAGTTCCAGGAAAGGCGCAAAGCTACACAGAAAAACCCTGTCTCAAAAAACCAAAAAAAAGCCGGGCGGTGGTGGCGCACGCCTTTAATCCCAGCACTCGGGAGGTAGAGCCAGGCGGATCTCTGTGAGTTCGAGGCCAGCCTGGGCTACCAAGTGAGTTCCAGGAAAGGCGCAAAGCTACACAGAGAAACCCTGTCTCGAAAAACAAAACAAAACAAAACAAAACAAAACAAAAAAAAAACCAAAAAAAAAAAAAAAGAATAAGTGCTGAAATGCCGGGCGGTGGTGGCACATGCCTTTAATCCCAGCACTCAGAAGGCAGAGGAAGGCAGATCTCTGTGAGTTCGAGGCCAGCCTGGTCTACAGTGAGTTCCAGGAAAGGCTTCAAAAGCTACACAGAGAAACGCTGTCTCAGAAAAAAGAAACAAAATCAACAACAAAAAAGGAATAACTGTGGAACCAGGGCGGTGTTGGCACATGCCTTTAATCCCAGTACTTGGAAGGCAGAGACAGAACAATCTCTTGAGAGTTTGAGGCCAGCATGGTGTACAGAGTGAGTTCCAGGACAGCCGGGGCTACACAGAGAACTCTGTCTGGTAAAACCATAAACAAACAAATTCCAGCATGGAACCGTGTGACCCAACAATAGCGTCAAGAGATGCAGATTGGAGCAAGGTGGAATCCAGGCTTGGAATCTGCAAAGCATCATGGTGATTAGCAGGATCCGGGCACAAGGGAGAAAGGACATCATCAAAGGACACAGCAGAAGTTCAATGTACCTGGGGGTTCTTCTGTTTGTTTGCTGTGAACTCCTCACCTTGCCACCCTGAGTAGCAGCAGGGAACTCCTGCTCTGTATAGCATGGCATCCTCCTGCCTCAGCTCCCTAGTGCAGAGTTGCAGGTACTTCATGCCCAGCTACATCTTGCAGCAGCTTCTTTTCTGCATATGAACACACAGCCTTGCCAACCCACCTTCCTCCCTGGTTCACTTACCTCCAGGTTCCTGTCTTCGTGCCTGCAGCAGCCTTGACTTTTCTGAGATCTCTCTTTAAAGTGCCCAGAGCTCTAGGATCATGGCTTTTATATGGATCCACGGGACTGTCTTCTAGTTGCTAATTTTCACAGTGATTGCCTGGAGCTTTGGACACCATTATAGATGTCATTTCAGACATCCTGAGATTACAAGTTAACCCTGGAACTGCCACAGGGAAGGGATGACCTTATTTAATTACTTAGGGTATAAAATACTTCTACAAAAAATTAGACCCAAGAGGTATAAATCAGGAGAGATCACTTGCGGATTCTTAATGACTTTCAAAGATTGCTAGGAGACATTTTCTGCATATGACCCACTTTTGGGCTAAGTCCTGATGAACTGAGTAATTTCTTCAGTATCCTAGATGGGGACAGGGACTTAAATAGTCTAAGAGAATTATCAGCTGAAGGTGAGAGGGAATTGGTTTTGGTGGAAAAGAAATTACAGAATGTACATGTGGATTGTGTGGCTCTAGAGCTTAACTGCACTGAAGAGCATGGATGTCCAGAATGCAACAGCAAGGTTTATTCTGTAGATACAAGTCTAGACAGGGAACTCATTCCTACACCCAATACAGTGAGGCAGGGAGGAGTTGCTCTTTCTTTGTGAGGCTAGCTATTTAAAGGCAAAAACCGCAAGCCCTTCGGGGGGTTGGGGGGGTTGGGGGTTTTGCACGGGGGCAACTTGGATTGGTTTAGTTTTATCTCTGTTCTCTTTTAATTGGGTGAGGGTATGTAACCTTTGAATTTACTGGTTGGGGGTTATAATTATCATTTTGGGGGAAGTACAGCACAATCCCAGGCTTTGTCCTTGAGCCATCATGGGGGCTGTCTGGCCTAGCATGTATTGACTGTGGGTACTGGCTCAGTGGTCCAGGCTCTGTCCTTGACTCATGCACATAAGTTGGTGAGGGGTCACAGACAGTAAACATCTGGCTGAACTTTGAGCAGTCAGAGTACGTGCAGAAAGGGAGCTACTGCAAGGACTATGTCTTTTGTTCACGACCCTCCCAGAGACTTGCTCAGTCTCAGAAACTGAAATTGAGGCCTGATCTCTGAGAGAAGACTGAGCAGCCTGTTATAGCATCTGCTTGGTCCTTTCAATATTACCCTCTAGGCAATCCCCTACAGGGATTTTGATGCAGAGGGACGATATTATATTGAAATGGATATTTCTACCACATAAACAGACCAAGAAAGACATATATGGAAAAGATTTCTGATTTTGTTTTAAAAGGAAAATTAAGACTTCTCAATTGACAGAAATGGACCCAGCAGAAATTTTAATACCTTTAACTAATGAGGAAA